GAGTGAGAGTGAGTGAGAGTGAGCGTGACTCTCAGTGAGAGCAAGTGTGAGTGAGAGTGTGAGGGTGGGTGTGAGTGAGAGTGAGAGAGTGAGTGAGTGTGAATGTGAGTGTGAGTGAGAGTGTGTGTGAGTGTGAGCGTGAACGTGAGCGTGTGTGAGTGAGAGTGAGAGTGCGAGAGTGAGAGACCATCCAGAGAGATCCAGACAAACAAGGTGACTTCTTTCTGCTTCCTACAACTTTACATCTGTCTTTGTGACTTGTTTTTCTTGCCTTGTCTGCTCTCTGAGCCAAAGGGTAGGCGATCAAAAGCTGCTATAGCGGATCGCCATCACAACATCAAATCTCATCTCTACGTGTCAAGTTCAAAAGCTCAAAACACGAACTGCACTCTTGACACAGAGGTTCCTAGTGCTTTGGAGAAAAAACAAAACACACGAAAGTGCTATCAAATGTTGACCTCGTGTTGCACTTGAAGATCCTATACATCTCGTGTGTTCAAATCTGCACACAACTTGCTTCAAAACTCACACCAAAACGTGAGTTCCACCCATGTCTCAAAGACATCTCAGATGGTCAGAATGACCAGCTGATCAAGAGTGGGTGGTTAGACTGATGGAACATACATGGTCAAGGGGTCTACAAACCCTATTTCGACGGTGCTGGTATATGTTGTTTGTTTTTAGTTGCGACTAAAGCAGACTGATGCTGTTGCCCGTCCGACGGTGGCGGTCTTTTGGTCTGCAAAAGCAATGCAACGCCCACTTTGAGGGCACAGAGGTTCTGTAATCCCCACGACCCATCAAAACTGCCTGCATTGACCCCTGAAATCCACGGCCTGAGCGGCATTTGGATGCAAGTCCCAGACGGCGACGGCTCGTGTTTGGGAGTAGTTGAGATCTCATTCCGAGACACCCCTTTAAAGCCTGGTAGCTGGATGCAGCTGGCAGGTCACCCGCACATTGGGGTGGTGACAGCAGTCAATGTTACAGTACCCAAACACTCCATGTATGGCATACTTATGCATACCTGGAACTTCCTCGGAGTTTTTTTTTGGTTTTTGTTCGATCTGTAGAGTGAAACACTTCTTTTGGAGTTTTTTTTGTATTTGAGTCTGCGGATGTGTCTCTAATATTTTTTTTTCTGATATTCCATGGGCGTTTATACACAAACTAAGGACGTTTAAAGGTGAACCAACGGCGTTTTTTCCCGAACATGTTTTTAGAGCGGATGTTTATTTTGGTTGCGATTTCGGTTGCAGATGTTTATGTGGTTCACAGACTCTGACCTAGAACCACCGACCAAAAAACACAACCACGAGGTTGCAGGTATATGCCTACATTGGGGTGGTTTCAGAGGTCAATATATATATAGCATACATGGAGTGTCTGGGGTATATTACATGGGTGTGTATGGAAATTCAAATACGGAGACCTCCCAAACCCCCCCGGAAGACCAGTCTACCCCTTGGCTGGTCTCCGAACCATACGCACCGGTATGAAACCATATAGGGAGTGTTTGGCATTGATTCCCAGGAGCTCTGGTTGAAGTTCCATCGCATGGTCAACAGTTGCCCGGTCAACGCCCAACGCAGTTCGGCATGACCGTTGAGGTAAGAAAGTTGTCGTGCACCTTCCAAAGTCTATCGGGGGATGCCTGCACATGGAGTCTTGGCTGAATTAAATTACCCAACCATTTCCCAGACACTCCATGTATGGCATTTTTACATACATTGACCCCTTTTCAGCCACCCCAACTGATCGGCAAACATTCCAATCCCATGAAGTGTTTGGGTTTTGTAAATGTGCCTTCTGAGCTTGGAATCCTATTTTAGCAAAGATCAAGGTCCAAAACATTGCTCCACCCGTGTAATGGAGCTGGCCCCTTTTTTTGCAGGACATCACAGAGGAAATACTTCGAAGCCAAATCCGCGATAATTGTTCCTTGCGATGTTTTCTGCCTGCTTTTCAGGGCTGGTTTGTGCGCGAGAGCTGAGAAGAAGTAATCTCCTGAACGCCATGTTCGGAGCCCAAAGACGCTGACTCACTCGATGAGGAATACTATTTATAAATTATACGTCATAGAATAATTTGTTCAACATAATTTGCACATCGATATTTTTTCAAGCAGGGAGTGGTGGGGGGGGGTCAGAATAATATTCTCGTTGAAAGTAAAAGGCTCCAAAATAATTAGAATATTATTCCAAAATAATTTAGAGTCTCAGATTTAGGAAGGTGTAGATCCCAGATTGGGGAGAGCGTGCATTTTTGCTTGTGCCAGATGTGCCATATGTTATATTGGTGGTGCAGCAAGCAGTCAACCACCTCAGAAATAATATTGTAGTAGTTACAGTGGAGTTATACTTTAAAAGAGAGGTAGGGCAGTCACAAAAATATGTTGCTTTCAGTTTCTCTTGTTTATATTATGTATAATATGTATAATATATATATATGCAACCATTTCCATCCATGTCCATTCTTGCAGCTGAGAAAACGAACGCGGCAAGTTATTTTTGTACTGGTTGACTGTGCAAGGACTTGTGTGTGTGACGCTTTCCATGAATCTCCCGGTACATCCCCAGGAATATACCACCCACCCGCATCTTCCAAATTGTATGATGTTAGCAAGGCCCTTGAAAATCAATGCATATTATTTTAGGCAGTCCGGACTCTCAGAATTAATATATCCCAGGTGGGTGTACCCACCTCAAAATAATTCTTTATTGTGGTAGGTGGTGGACGGTACCACCTATCTATGATATCCCTCATCTCACTCGGGTGTGTTTTCACACCAGATGTATACGTAGACTGCAAAATCACGTCGCTCGGAGTTGTTGGTGGGTCCAATCACATGTGTGCCTCAGCTTGTTTCTCCAAAGGTTTCCTTGGAAAGACGACGAAAGGTTTTTGCCCCAAAGGCAGCGGTGGTTCAAGGTCTTCTCCGAGGTCCGAGGGTGTTTCCGGAGGGGTGGAAATCACGGGGAGCACGGAGCGGTGTTAAGGGTCTTTCAGCAGTTCTATCCCAGACACGACCCATGGGACGTGCCATAATTACCGATCAGGCTTGGTGATTGATTTCAGTGGTTTAAAAAGAATGGGCAGCATATCTTCCAGTCCCAGACAGGTCGTGTTGGAATCATCTCACCTTGGCATGTGGACTCCCAAGTTCGGACCTCATCCGAAGGAAAGGTACCAGGTGTTGCATGCCTTCCCAACCAAAACAAATACCAAGATCAGATTTGCGCGCCCCAAGGGGCACAGGTGCCCAAGCATCGGATGTTCCGTTTTAGACGCCCGGTGTTTTAAATCGCGTCATGGGTTCTGATAAGGGGTGTTTGCTCACTGTCGATGAGAGCTCCTGCGGATGCTTTGATGTCTGAAGCACCTGACGAAGAGCAGCCGAGCTGTTTCTGCCTCGGCGTCGTTATTGTCAACAAAAAAGAGCATGCAACAGCTCTCGTCAAAGTAAACGAGTCCGCCAGGCTTGGGTTTTGGAGGGTTCTGAGTGGCTCCAATCGCTGAAGAAGCTCGGGTCAGCCTTTCGCTGGACAGAAACACACGAAAGTCCACAGGTCACCCGTGGTGGAGAGATTCTTTGGTTGTGGACCCCGTCAAAGTGGGCTGGAAGAGGGGAACTCACCGAAAGTATGTTTGTTTGATGAAAATGCAATACCCGCTGGGCATGCATCTATTTTGAGCCAATCCCACCATGATCGCAATCAGGCAGAGGTTGTTGCACGTGCAGGAGTCGGGCCAACGACGGTGCAATGAGACTTTTTGGTATACTCTACAAATCTGTACAATTTAATTATCTATTTTATGGAGCGCCGAGTGTCGGACGTGGTCTGCTTGACGCAGCTTCCTCCTCGTTTGCCGATGGAGCATCGCGACGAGAGGCAGATCCTTCCAGCACCCAAACAAGAAACATGTGCTGAGCTGCTGACCTATAGTCAGTGGATAAGCTTTAAACCTTTTTGGAGGGGATTGGGGACACTCCACGTTTCACAAGAACAGGTGGAGTTCGTCAAACCGTGTTTGCCTGAATCACCGCTATTTTTATGAGGATTTAAGAGGCTGCGTATCCATTTTTACAAGTTATAGGTACCTTGCATTAGAGGTCTTTATTTTTCGGTACCTTGTACCCGTTTGACCGGAGGTCCGGGTCGGTCCACAGCCCACCACCCCCAAAACGCGGAAGGAAAAGCGGGGAGAGTTGACGCTGGGGACGTTGAAGCCACAAGACTTTGGGCACTTAGACTTCCAAGTCGCGTGGTCGCGTAAGTTCTGACCTGTTCTGACCACTGAACGTGAGGGGTGCTGGTTGCATCGTGTGGTGAAAACAAGGGCGAGAAAGAACAGTTTTCAGTGACCAAGTGACGGACCCGTTGAGCTGGGATCGTCTAGGGTTCTTCCACGGACCTCCAAGCGGTCGGAGCCTCCCGTCGCTCCGAAGGAGTCGGAAACCTCCTGTAGCTTGCAGTATAAGCTACGTATAGTAGCTCCTGGCATCGCTACTAATTAGGAAGAAGAAGCTACTAGTAAGCTATATATTTGCTACTAGTAGTCATGCCAGGAGCTACGTTCGTAGCATCCTTGCTCCGTTCGTAACGATGCCCTTTGTTACTATAGTAAATATATATATATATGATTAGCCATTTGCTACTAAATCGCATAGCTTGCAGCTCTCTGGGGAAGGATCTGATCGATCTGTCTCCACTTGGGTCCTGGAGCTGCCCAGACCAAACGTCCGCGGCGCCGACCGCGACGCGACCGCGACGCGACCGAAGAACTCTGTGAATTGTTGCGCCTCGGGGACTGGTGGGTCGCTTGCAAAAGGGTTTGCGAACTGTAAGGCTTGGCTTTGGAGTCCTTTATAGTTATTGAAGTCCTCCTGGACTAAGTATGCATGGACAAAACACGATCATCGGACTGATGGTCCAAACATCTACAGTCTTTTTTTACCAGCACCCTCCAACAAGTCACCAAGTGTGACAAGTCAGGGCCCTTCCCAACCCTCACCTAAAGAATCCTAAAGACCTCTTGGAGGGTCCTGCAAGAGATTTAGGCGTTGAATATGTTGACTGAAGAAAGAAGGCGAAGCTGTCCATTCTTGCGACACTCAAGCATATTCCAGTGGCCGAACGCGTTTGCGGGAACTGCATTGGTAGAGAAGTGCCTTCTGTGACGGTTGTTTGGAGGGATGCAGATTTGATTGATGATTCGTTTTTCAGCTTTGACATCCTAAGTAAAGAAAAATGCAACTGAAACTGTTCGCTGAAAGAACTCGCCGTGTTTGAGGGGGTTCAAGCACTTCTTTCCACCTTTGCGCATGTCTTCGTGGTTACAGTTCTTCTTTCGGCCGCGTTTTGTTTTTGTTAATGCCTTTTTCAAGCCATGGAACTATCGAACATGTTTGTTCCATCCGTTGTTTCCGCAGTTTCCATCAGTTCCCATCTCAAGCACCAATCAGAGACTCGAGTGGTTTGGATTTCAGATCACCGAAACATGATGCTGCTTTGTAAAAAGCATCATTCCTTTCAAGCATCGAATTTCAAGGTGTCATGGAGGACCAACGGCTCCAGAGAACACCGACAACTGGGTGGTGGTTTCAGATATGTTCATGTTCAACCGTTGCTTGAGATTAAAAAGGGCCCACCCAGCTCCGTATCTGTTGGTCGTGAGTTGAAACCACCACCATGAACAAGAAGAAGCGTTCCGAACGCTCGGAAGCGTGGAAGTTTTCCGAAATCAGAACAACACAAACTGACAGCACCAAGCTGCGCTCAGCACATCACCGGAAGCTCAGCAGAAGAAGAAACGCCACGGTACCTTTCGATGTGATGAGAGAGTCCAGGACATGCTTTCGGAGCGAGAAGGCCGATATGGCTGGAGGCCTAAGGCTATGGATGCAGGCCGCGCAAAGAAAAGGATCTGCCTTCAGGATTTGGATGTCCATTGGATTGGGATATATATATATAGCTAATTATAGCTATATAGGTTCAGACAACATCATGATACATTGCTGGAACCATCCATTGTTATACATTGGATGAATATGTTTGATTTCCCATGACACGTCTGTTTTTTTTCAGCGAATACTGGAAGAGGTTCCAAATTGCAGCTGAAAACCGTGACCTAGCTAACCTCTTTGGAGCTATGCGCGACCTTCAAAACCTGCAGCAAACACCTGGCATACTTGACTGCCTGGGGTATGGAAGAGTCACAATGTCTTTTGCAGACTTGTGCTTAAGAACTGCTTTTTGGTTCTGTCATTTGAGGCCCTAATATTGCGCACCCATCGCGATTGGTGGCCTTGTGTTTAGAGTTGCTGTTCCACAGTGGACGGCTGCAACAAATTTGTATCGCTGTGGGTTCCCAAGTCAGTCTGGGCACCAGAAAGTAATAAATTTCGGCAATCTGGGGCATCAAAAGGATGTACAGTTTGGGAGCAGTTCTCCAAGCACTGCATGGTTGACATGTCTATTATAGTAACTATTCTTATATAGTTTGACTTTTAAACAGTTTATCATGTCATCATCCAAGGACACACATATAGGCATTAAGAATAATAAGCATCAACACACATATCATAAGTGATAAATAAGCATCAACAAACACATTGATTCATGACAAACATATAATGTTGGGTTTTCTGGTCCCGTGGTCCCCTGGTCAACCTCACCCTTTTGTGGCAAAGTAAGGGGAAGCCCTTCAAACCTTACACACCTTTGAGAGTCTGTCACCCTTCTGTGGGCCGGCCCTACCGTGAAATTTCGGGGCTGGGGCGAGGGTCATGACCTTTGTTTGGGTTCGGAAGTGCTTCCAAGAACTGCGTGAGCAGAACACACACGGAAACACGAGGCCAGAAAGTCCAAATGACTGCCAGGTGAGGTAAAATGAGTGATTGGAAGTTCAGGGGATGCTCCGTGAAAGTTTTGGTTTGTGCAGTGGTCGAAAAAGTGGTGTGTAGGTTTTTGCGAAAAAAACATTTTGTGCCTCAGAGAACAACCAACAAAAGGAGGTTATGCATTGATGAATCGATTTCCAATGCCCAGACTTCCGCAATATGAGGACGTCTTCTTGAGCGACAATTGTCTTGCAAAGCGCCAACAAAAACTGTGCAAGATGAGGACCTTCAAAGTCACCTCTTTGGAGTCTCTAAGTCTTTGGATGTGACCTTCCACAGGCAGACAGTAAGTACATCATATACCAGCTTCTTCAAAGTGACCTCTTTGGAGCGCCCAGTGACCTTTTAGAGGCCCAAGTGACCTCAAACTGGGATATCAAAAGGTCACTTTGAAGACCCAGGTACACTGAAACAGCGTCCATTAATATGAAGAACAACCCTGGTCCATGTGAACACTGGTCCGCAGAGGCCCAAAGTAAGCAGTGCTGAAGTGCCCAAATCGACCTGGGGCCCATGGATTTTGAATTCGCTGGAATTCATGACTCATGCCGAGGTCGATAAGAACCGAGAAGGTTCACACGCAGTGCTATGTGTTCGACCCTCGACATGTGTTCGATCCTGACATTCTGAGATACAAGAGAAAAACATGAAGGGCTGAGTTGAGGGGCAAAATACATCTCAAGAATCACTTGAGGATTTCCCCAACAGCGGACCAGACTAGAGTGGCTTGCTTGCACAACGTCAAAATAATTGGTGTGATTCCAGTGATTCTTTTCCAGCTATAGTTCTCCTGACTCGTCTTTGGAAACATCGGGATCAATCGTTTTAAATGGCGCTGCCACATCGTGTGGAGTTCTTTTTGCGGCCATACGTGGCCAACAAGGCAGAGTATAGGTCTTGTGCAGCTGAGACGCAAACAAAGAAGGTCTGGGATTAAACCTCAGCCCAACATGTGTTCGTTGACGTTCTCCTCCATGTCAGTACGAAGAAAACGCACATGCACTGAATCCCGAGTACCTATCAAAAAATCGGACCCCTATTAAAAAAAAGTCATGTCGGATCCCCCTAAATACGGCGGTTTATATTTCTATAATTTGTTTTTAAATTGCTGCCCTTTCAAGCCGCTACTAAACTACCAACATGACCGATTTTGGAGGGGCTCTTTTTATTAGGTTCCAAAAACAACCGTAACTGCCCACCTCTGTCCGCCCTGTCTATCCACCATGACACGCCGCGCTTACACCAGCAGGCTTTCCTTCCCCCAATAGCACGGACTCACGCAAACGCACTTGCCACCGAGGTCATGCAACACCGCATGGCACAGCGACATCACCTTTCGAAAGCTTTAGCTGTTAGTCTACTGAAGAATCACTATTCTAATGAAGGTTTTTGTAGGGGAAAAGGAAGACCCTTCGATCTGGAGGTTTTTTGCATTTTTGATACGAGTTTAGTAAAGGATTATATTTATATAAAATTTTCCTGGATTACTTTTTAGTATTGAAACTCTTTCCAGGTGACCCTATTTTGGACCCCCGGATTTCAGCGACACTCTGTTAGAAAAAATGCGACCGAGGTTTCCTTATTGGGGGGGGCCGTAGTGTTTTTTAATAGGTTATAGTCTCGGGGGTTTTGCGTGATGAAGAGTTGGATTGACTTTGCGTAGGAGTTCAAAGTCAGTATCGCCAATCGCAAGAGCTCTCCTCCATTCCCTTCCATTGCTCTATTCGGATCTATCATACCTCGAGCCTATCTTGACCATTCTGTTGATTGGTTTGCTAAATACTCAAAATTATTCCACATTCTCCAAGCAAAGGTTTCACCCAACATCACCAAACAAGCCGACCCTGCACACCAAAAACACCGACCGATCGTGCACCGACCCGACCGTGCCTGCCTCCACACCGGTGCCCGGGCAGCTACCGCTCCGACACCCGGTTCCCCTCCCAAAACACCGGTGCGCTCGCCCGATCCGGAGCGAGTGGGCCGCCTGGGGGATGCTGGTTCTTCTGCAAGAAAACGACCAGCGCGCGCCGGCCGCGTCGTCCGCACCGCGGGCGCGGCGGGCGCTGGAGGGCGGGAATTGGTGGGCATGGCCCGGTGATGAGCCCATATTTAGGGCTGTTTCGGAGCTCCGAAGGGGAACGGGGCAAGCCCTTCGGCACCGAAGAAGGGTGGAAATCCCAGACGTCGGAGTGGAGGGTGCGTCGGAATGGGCGCGAAAATCGAGGCGCCTGAACAGAAGAGACTCCCTTTCCTCAGTCGTGTGAATGAAAAGGACTCGTGGACCCTATACGTACTATGAGTAGTGGTGGAGGATGAATTTGTCCAGACAGTCCCGTTCTTCCGGGACTGGAGACAAACGCGAAGCTTTTGGAAGCTCGGTAATAGGGGGGTGTGATGTCGGTCTGGAGTGGTGACGGACTGCCGGCACTGGAAGTTCGTTCGGCAGTTTGGAGGTTCCCAAATTCGAACCGGACATCCTCAGCACGTCGATGCGTTTTTTTTGGCGTGTCCGGAACAGAAAAAGGAGAATGGGGTCTCCGTGGGACAAAGATGCGTCATTCTCCGGAAGAAAATGATGGAAGACACATCCAACCAAAATCAGGTCCCACCAATACACTGCCAAGTTTGGGGCCAACTTCTCTCTCAATACATACACGACGTCGTATGCGCGACTTACTGAGCTCCAAATTTCAATCGTGGATGAAAGAGATCATCCGTTTCCCCGGCAGAACGTGCTCGCCTTCGACCTTGGCACCAGAAGGCTCGACCTGATCCGATCTGAACCGCTCGGCCGACCGCAGTTTGTCAGCGCCAGATATATACTCCAGGTCTTGGGCACCCGTGCAGGGTGAAGACCTGTGGACCGCGTCCGGACGTAGAAAGAAAACGCCCATTGCGAGCCGTGCTTCGTCGTACGACGAGTGGACCGCGTAGTTCTTGAGAACCCGCCATGGCCGTTGTGGAGGAGACTCCGGTCCGGAACATCAAATGAGATGCGTGAACAGCCAACGAGCCAGAAAGGATTTGTAATGATTTGGTGTATTTTGATGTTATTGATCAATTAATGTGTGTGTTTTAAACAATTCTACATGTGAAGTATGCTGCTTGCATTGCTGCTTGCTTCCTTGAGCCAGTCTATCAAAAATGACCCCATCTCCCTTCCTGTGAGTTTTGGTTGGTCTTTGCCTCCGCTCTGGGTCGCCTCCCGCGTTTGAGCCCTCTGGGCCTCTGGGTCGCCGCAGGAGGCGTCCCGGACGAGTCCGCAAAGCAAGGTGGAGGCGCATCGACGCGCGATCGCCACCCGACCGCAACCGGGCCGAGGGACGGTCTGGTGCGTCGCGAGGTGTGACCGGAGGGTGGGGTGGGGTGGGAGCGCAACATGGGTTCTGGAGCCTAATCCACGACCGCGCAGCAGATGTAAGACCTGGATCGCCAAAGGCTAGATGTTGGCCCTTTCATTCATCAAACCAGCCAGAAAGCATACATGTTGAGCTAGGAGATGTATCGAGATGCTAGGAATCCCTTTTTTGGGGCCCGGGGACCATGAATCTCTTGTATGTGTTTTATCGATATTTGGACAGATGTTCTTTACGTTTAAAAGGATGAGGAGTCCATTTGACCCTGTTTTTGATAGGAAGATATTCAGGTTATCTCATGCCTTCATTTTCGTTAGCCCTGCCGTCCCGGGAGAGACCTAGCTACAGGCATGCGCCGCATGCGCTGTGTACCTTTCATAGGGGAAGACCTCTCACTTGTGAAGAGACCCCCCCCCCTCCCGTGCATTTCGGCTTCGAGTGCGATGCAGATAGCTAAGGCCACGCAGAAAGCGATCATTGTCGGAGACCCAAGCGGAAGGGATGAGATTTAACATCTATAGATGGATTTCATTGGTGTGGGTGTCACTTAGTTATTAATATTGGATGTTTTTGGGGATGTGATACCTCTGTTGTCTCTCCCTCTCTCTCTCTATATATATAGGATGTGCTTTTGTTTACTCAGTGTTACTGAACAAGTTGACCTCGGTCTGTTCATGAGCGGAGGAACCGCAGCAGTTGGGAACATTCTCTACTTTATGTCATGCCAATGGTGCGAGAAGTGAATGTTGATGTTCGAACGATGTTGCCAAGGATGTTTGTCTCGTCAGCTCAGGGACGGTTTTCTCCCCGCGTCCTGGACATGGAGACGTCCATTTGGTAATTCTAACCTGGTCATGCACGAGGACTCAACTTGTGGGTTAAGAGCACAGGATCATTGGATGCTGCAAAACTGATGGCGCCACAGACATTGAGATGCGATTCATTGCCATGCAACTCCTCAAATGGCAATGCAAGTAGTAGCTTCTTGCTCCATATAGAACCCCTGATCAATCGACTTAGGATCCCATGTCACGAATCCCTTGCGCAATCCATGGTAATGAAGAGTTGTTTACTACATGGATGGATATTGATGGATAGTTGTTTTGTAGATGTTTTGAGGGGTCAATGTCCGTAAAGATTCTATATCGTATGTGGATTGTGGGGAATATCAAAGCCAGCCGATAGGCTAGGCTGAAGTGTGTGCGAACGAAATTCGTGATTGGGGGGTGAGGGTGGAGACGAGGAGAGAGCGAACGTCAAATCCCTCAGCTTGCTGGGAGCTTTTGGGTGGCGAAGAAGCTGATATTTGATGGCTTGGTGATGCAAAAGATGCAAGGACGCAAGTATTGCATCACGAGCATCATTACTATCCGAGAGTGGCACATATGGCTACGTCCAAAGGGGACAGGTTCTCCTACAGCTGACACGGATGCAAGGTTGACGCGACCCTAGGGGTTGTGAGGGCAGAAGGACTAGGTGTGCGAGTCCAGGTAGAGGACAGGAGAGGGGAGACTGCATGTAGTCAGGAAGCTATAAGATTAACTTTGGCAGAGGGACAGCGTGTCGAAAACTCAGCGCGGAAGTTCCCACATTTGCAAGCTTCACGCTTACCTCTAGATATTGATATGGGTGGCCATTTTGCACCCCACAAAAGTATTAAATTCAGCTGCAACAACTAAGGGCGCCCTACACAAACAGGATCAAAGACATTTGACGCCCCGATCTTGTGAAGGACCCTTGGCCGGTCCGCACATCGGGCCGTCTGTATCTATGCTTGATGACTGCTAGCAGAATCTCAGCCATGACCGAGCAGTAAAGAGTTTGAAGCCAGACTGGCTAGGGCTTCAGGCTCAAGAAATGGGAGCCATGCGTGAAGGACGCAGACGATAGAGTGAATAGGACTCACAACGGGGCAACGTATCCAGCTGACCTGCGCACAAAACTGTGGGCCCTGAGAACGCTGACCTTGCCGCTTTCCGATGGGGACTGACCAGCCTCTTTGGTCGTGGCTACTGTTGGTCCCTGCGCATCTATTACCGAAGAAAGCCGGTTCCATGCGGAGTACCTTCAAGGAAGCCTCCTAACCTTTCCTAACCAACGCGTATCCGTCACCTGCATGTTCCTCCTGGCTTCCGTTTCCCCCTTCTCAGGTGTTTTTGAACTATTCCCTTCTCAAACTGCATGGATGTGAGCAACTGCAGTTGTTGACAGCCCTTTGACATCGGCTTTCTAACCAGGTGAAGTTCCTTGAAGCGAATGGCACCTCAGCGGCCCTGTTCTCGCTGGTCGCACCCGCACGGGCGTTGGGTTGGGGTGGAGTGGGAACGAATGGAATTGTGCTTGAGGACCTGAAGGACCTGTAGCGGGTGTTAAGTGTGAAACAGACCACCCATCTTTGAATTGTCCTTTTTGTTTTCTCCCGGCTTATCATGTCTATTCATGGCTTATCATGGCTTCATCGTGAATTGCAACCAAACATGCTTTATCAAGTTGGAGTCAGAGTGGAGGAGAAATGGCAGGTGTTTATAAATTGTGTTAAACACAGACCCCGGGAGGAGAGTCTCTTCTGCCAGTTATCGTCGTTCGGAACGGTTCCATGATGGACAAGGCTAGGAGGCATCCTTCTTCGCCCGCGAGTTTTTTCTCATGAGACACTCCATGGGGCTGGAAAAATGCCCACATCACCCTTGAAACCACCCAAATGTAGGCAAACATTTATATGGAAAATGTTTTGGTTTTGTTTTGTGTGGTTTGCGTTACACACTCTAACAAAGCCAACTTTGCGCAGGACACGAACATGATCGACTACACACCGCCTATGTCCTTTTTACGCCGGTGTTTTTCCCCCCCCCTACGATCTGCCGATCGGTTTGTCTTTTTCGGCGGAACATGGTCCGCAACCGCGGCGGAGGATTCCGCAAGGATGTGAATTGCAAAGGGACTGAGGAAGAACAGGCTGGACCGCCGCCCAGTCTGGGACCTGCATCGTTGGGACCGGACCGCAGACAACTTTTCGGTGACGGTTTAACGGCTGACCCGTCACATGGGTCGCCCAGAGAGGGACCGATGTGATGGGTGAATTTTGGACGAAAATCAATCAGGACCTGACAGGTCAATGTGTTGTAATATGTTTGAAGGAGTTTAATTTCATGTAGACTCTTGATGAATAATCCCGCCATGAATCAAGGGCTGTTTCAATCCATGTGTTTGTTGTTGGGGGTTATTTATCAAGAATCTACGTCAACCGGGTATGAACAGGAACACACAATTGACGAATATCGTTTCAGGGGCATCGATCGAAGTTAAGTGTTTTACGGCGTGGAAAGTGCCAAAACGCCATGTTTTGTTTCTTTTGTCCAAGTGAGCCCTAGAGGTCCAGTCTGACCCAGGTCCGAACCTGGTCCTGATAAAACCTTGAATATAGCGTGCACTTGTATGATCAACTTCAGCAAAAAAAGAGGGTGCCAGTTGACCGGTAGGCAGAGGGTCCCACAGAGTTCGCTGAACATGTCCGAAGTATTTGTGGGAAGACTTCTTTCTGATGAGATATGAGTTCCTTTTCGCCTTTTGGCAACTCATTTTGGTTGGTGGATTGGGAGGAGACACTTGCGAGATGTGTTGAAAAGGATGTTAAAGGGAGACCAAGAGTTCCAAGGGCTGCCGTACGTCTCAGTTGGCAGTTCCTTTGCGTTGCATGTTAAATGTCATTGGGCTTTCAATAGACCAAGATCATGTTCACTGCTCTACTCCACTTTACTCTACACTCCCTTCCTCCCTCCCTATCTCAGAACATCTCAAAACAACAATCATGGGAGCTGAGAAGACCCCTTTTTGGTAGAGGAGCATGTTCTTCCCACCTACTTTCCACCTCCATGATGGTCTCATCTAACAGGGCCCTTCATGGGTGCCTGCGCAGCCCGGTGACGTGCTGCAAGAGATCTATATAGTCCTCACAGGTTCACAGCTGGATAACCCCAGATGCTATTGTTCTTATATTATCATGTTTTAAATAGCGTGCTGAGGTGATTGATAGAAGTGTCCAGCAAGTCAAGTATTCCTTGTTTTCCAGCTTGCTCCCAAGAGATTCACCACAAGCCAACTCTAGATGAAACTGGTTCGTAGGCGACACGTTCTTATTTGACCCCGCTACCCCGCTTGAAGTCTGCCATGTGAATGGTTCGCTTCATCGCCTTCCTTCGCAGGTTTGCTACACTTATCCATTGCACGTGGCAGTGAAGCAAGAGACCTTCGGAGCGATTGGATGGGCAGAGAAACATACATGGACTGGACTGGGAATCTGAAGGGAGATGGAATTTTACCATGATCTTCCTCGGTGCTTTGCTTTACCATGATCCTCCCTGCAGCTCTTTCTTCATTCACGTGGATCGATCCAACATACCAGACGGAGACCAGCCCACCGATCACGGAGACGGAGTCATCCATCATGACACCACGGCGTCCCAGTTCAGCTTTCATGTTGGAGTCGGACTCGGTTGAAGTTTGCCTTTTGTGCTTTGGCGTCGTCCGAAAAAGAAGGTTAACCAAAACAATAGGGTAACATCAAAAGTCCGGGTCTAGGTTTCAATAGACATGTCCATCCATCCCTTTTTCAGGCATGTTGCATACATAGTTGGCAGGTCAGGGATTCTTACGAGAGATTTTTGCCTTCAGAGAAGCTCTTGTGCGAAGTGGTTTTCCTTGAGTCACTCAGCTTGGAAACGATTCATTAAAGCAGTGCATGCTTCGCTGTCCAAAGGAAGATATTCATGGGAATCTGAATTCACCATGATTCACTGATTCACCTAGTAGGTTGCAACTTTATCATTACAACATTTAGCCTTGTTTTAACACACCAACACAAATCATATCGATAATGGTCAAAACTACATTGGTGGCAAAGAATGCCAGTCTTCCGAAGTCTTGCTATTTTGGTGTTTTAGTCTGTCTTCCCAAGCATTCAAATGCTGAAACTGGCAGACGCCCTTCTTGCCATGAGGAATGCAGCCATGGTGGAGTTATTGCTGCACTTTGGCGCCAAAGCCAAGCAAAAGGACTACAAGGCGGTGATGGATGCTGGACCACGCAACAACCTGAATGCAAAACAACACGGAAAAAGAACATAACACACAAACAAAACAACACTCGTTTTGTTCGTTCCAGTTCCGTATGGTCCCGGTTCCAAAGCGGGTGAAACTGGGACAGACATTCCAGCAATCGATCGATGAAAAACGAGACAGTCTCCTCGCTTTCGTGTTCACGGCTCACGAGTTTGCACGGCTCGAAAAGAACAGTTCGTGCCACAGTCGGCAGTCGTGGGGAGACTGAGGGTAGCAGTCGGCAGTCGGTAGTAGTTGGGGAAGCGAACTGATGCAAATTCTGAAGATATGTTATATAACGGATTTTTCAGGCACCGTTATCCAACATCAACGGTCTTCTCCTGGGGGGAAGTAATACATTCGACTCAACTCTTTTTTTTCTGCGCCCGATCAACTCCTGGGGTGATTGAGTTCAGGGGGATAAGTGATGGTCATGTGTATACCGATCGATCTTCAAACGATGCAACATGTTTGCCAAACTTGGCTGGTTTGATCGGCGAAAAGGCTGGGATAGCTGGAAGATCCAGGTCTATTCCCTCCTATAGAGTGTTTGGGCGACCGGACACCGATAGGGCTGCTTGTCTTGCTTCGGGCAGATGCGGTCTGTTGCAGATGCGGTCTGTTGAAGGTGAACAAAAAGGTAGCCCCCTTTGGAAGGTGATTGGATGTGCGATCCAGGATGATCCAGACAATTCCCAGAAACATGGTGCTGGCCAGTTCTTGGTGCATTCAATAGAACCAGGTGCTCTCCAAGCAAGCCTCGCAGGCGGTGGACTTGACAATACTTGTAAGATATTGTAAGATGACATGTCCAGATCTAGTCCGGCACGGTCCACATCGTTTAGAGCGAACCCCAAATAGATGTAGTATACAGAGAACGTTTCTGGATGCCTTTTTGGAACCATTTCGATCTAACTATTACAATATTATATATATATATTATAAAATATTGTTATATATATATATTAAACTATATATATATAACAATAAGCAGACCTCAAACAAGGCAAACAAAAGCAACGGTTTCGTTTCTTCCCGAGCCAAGTTTTTGTCGGGATGGCCGCCTACCACTTTCACCACTTTGCTGAACCACCTCAGGGAAGATTCAGTGAACCGGCTGTGCTTCATGGCACCAGGGCACCCGACGGTTTTTTCCCGGAAATGAACATATAAGGCCGACACCAGACATGGTCAGCCACATCCGGTTGGAACGCTCCGACAATCCCAGACGCTCCATGGGACTGCCAATGTACATTGGGGTGGTGCCAGGGGGGTCAATGGGGCGGCATATATGGCAGTCCCATGGAGTGTATGGGAATGGTTGATCTGGTAGGGGAAGACAGCTTGCGACTACGCGAGGCTTGAAATGAAAGGAAACGGTTTTCTGCGAGGATGCGCCTATAAATAGCCTCTTTGAGGTGATTCGGGGTGTCCAAAAGCCACCTGTTGGAAGGTCCTGTATATGCAAAATGTTTGCCAAACTTGGCTGGTTTTATTGATGTAAAGGGCATCATGTTTGCATAGTTGGAAGATCCAGGTCAGGACACCTACCGTGCAAATGAACATGAACTTCGAATGGGATCCCCAAATCCATTGGGTTGCAGAGGACAATACTTGAAACAGTTTGAGTTTGAACCATGAATCCTGGGTCCATCGTCTATCGGGGTGTATGCTCATACCCTCAACTACTTGGGTTCCGGGTGACTCTCAAGGGTTGACGGTCTGGTGCGAAAAATCATGCAGACCTCTGCACCCTATTCATGATAAACCACCTGTAACTTGTATGTGCTTCGGTTCTTTCATTTTTGACCTTAGCAAACTCCTCCAGCTTCTACTCCGGTCTTTTGATGTGTTTTCCAGTTCTGAGAAACTGATCTGATGTGCGGACAGCCCGAGGATCAGGTGATCAAGCACAGGCGCCGTTGTCTTCAGCGTTGTCTTCTCCTAAGGATTCTCCCAATCATGACATCATGAGGGGGTTCAGCTGCACACGCCCCAGAGCTGGAGCTCCCAAGTCGCTCACATGTTCCGGTGGATCTTCAGGACCACGGCAGGTGGGTCGTGTCTGGTCGAATGGTCGAAACCACGGAGTGAATGCGATCATCTTCGACGCACCAGCATCTTTCGATCATCGATCTCGATCTGGCACCATCTGGCACCATCTTCGATCGTCGACCCGCTGAGGAAGTCAGCACCTGAGATCCTCAAGATCTTCGAGCTGTGACCAATCGGAAGTGGTCGACGTTTGCCATTGAACCCCACATCGGATGGGGTTCCCCCACGGTCCGGTGTGAGCGGCATACTGGGCGTTAACATCTGGTGAGAGGCCTTCTTCAGAAGACCCAAACAACAGGTCTTCTTGCTTCCAGTCCCACCTGATCTTGTTTCGTGTTCGAATTGTTTATGATTCTTCTTCTTGGAGCCACAAAACGTAAATCGCGCTTGGAGTGGCTTATACACCCAGACAAGCCATGTACCAGGACGCTCTATATGGGGTGTTTGAATCTGTTTGTTTTTGTGTTGTTTCATATCCCTTAGAGGTGATTCAGTGTTTAAGAACCCATTGGCGGTATAGGCCTATTTGCATGTATTTGCCAGATTGGTTTTGAGGTCGTTTGAGGGTCGTTTCCACAGCGTTCCCATCCGAATCGACTGTCCCCCGCGGTCGACGCGCGGGACGAGACGGGTTCAGCAGCCAGTTGTCACCCGGTCGACGATTCAGTGTCGACCCCGTTCAACCCGCTGCAGGACCATGTCTCGGTGTTGGTGGCCTCAGTGAAGTAGGGCCTGTCCGCAAACCCGGCGAGTCCGGTTCTGTCGTTGTTTTCCACCATTCCGGACGCCGTCCAGACCCGATCCCGTGGAGTGGACGCGTCCGACGGTCAAACTGCTCCTGTGTGACCTATTTTGGGGGGGCCACCCTTTTGGGCGCCTAAAGTCGGGTTGACTGAACCTTAAACCAGACCAGATACTCCGTGTATGCTATATGCCTACATTGACTCCCCTGGCACCACCCCTGGCCTGATCGGCATATATGCCAGTCCCACGGAGTGTTTGGGTTATATCAAAACAGGGTTCATGTTTGGTCCCATTGCCCCCATTCACACCCCAATGGATCGGTCAAAAAGGCCAGTCACAGATGGCGGTCGTGTCTGGAAGATGGCCTGTCCTTGTATCGTCTTTTTGTGTCTTGGTTGGTCTCAAGCCATTGATTCCTGGATTTGAAACCCTGCTTCCAAAATAATTGGTGAAACAATTGTGATTTTTCTACGCCTACTTCAGGTATGGGGATGCTACAAAGCCCTGGGACGCCTACTTCGCACGGCTGCAGCAGCACCCCTGCCTGGTGGCACCAAGGAAGGCCACACGCTTCTCGGTCACGGGTCACCCGAGAGACCTCGCAGAAGAAGATGCAGGTTCCGGCAGGTGGAGGAGCAGAGCACAGCAGAAGCTTTTTCACGAATGCGTAGCGAAGGGTTCTCGTTGAACTCTGGGGGTCTGGGGGTAGAGCCTTGTTCGCGACGTGTTGTCGTATCGTTCGCAGTCGTTCGCGGAGGCGCTGCCATTGGGGAAAGGCTTTGGAGGGGGGTTTGGATGGAAGCGTGACCTGTCAGATTCGTGGGAAATAGCGAGGAAACGTGTGGATACGTAAGATGTATGATTTCACTTCGCAGGCGCAGCGTTTTGTGAGATCGGCAGTTTTCTGCGTATAGATTAGGATTGGCGTTTGGAGGGTGGTGCTTTTGGGGTGTTGGATGTGGCTGTGACATTGAGACTTGTGTTTCAGGGTGTTGCGGCGAAGCTGTGCTTTCGTGACAAGTCCCAGCTAAAATGACGGCTTTTGCGGTTGGGAGCGTGCTCAGAACGTGTCGAAATCATTCCAAAGGTGTGTTGTGGTGCAAGTTTTGTTAAAGCTAACCTGATATGATATATTAATTAATCTACTGTCATGCTTCATGTCTGCTTCATGCTCGAGGTTTCTTGCGAATTCTTGACAAAATTGAGCCACGCTTAGTCACTCACCTTTGACCTTCAGCAGGCTCAGGATCATAGGTTCTTCTTCATTGGCCGACAATCCCCTGAAGGAAACAAAGAAGAATGACATGCTGTTCACGATACTGGGTCTTGTATCTTTCAATTTGTACCTATGTATTTTCAGTAGCATCATAACTCATAACATTAAAAACGCATAAAAGATAATAGAACATTTATCAATTAGAAAATAACTAATAGTAACTATATATAAGATAGGTATAGATAGGTAATACTCGAAAGGCTGGCAATTTACTCGCCATACCAATTTCTCGCAACGATCACTATCAAAGTTTTCGACACGCTGATGATCAGTATTTCTCGCCGCGCTCCCAATCAGAATTTCTCGCCACGCTCACTAGCTCACCACAAGAACATATATAACACAAATTTCTAGCCGCTACAACAAATCCACTGGCTAGCACCTAGTAGGTGCTAGCCAAGGCAATCTCAAAAAAGAAAGGCACCGGCTAGCACCTAGAGTAGGTGCTAGCCGTTGGAACTTGCAGAATACAAGCAGAATTTCTCGCCATGGGAGCAAACCCACTGGCTAGCACCTACAGTAGGCGCTAGCCAAAGCAAGTTCAACCACGAAAGGCGTCGGGCATTTGCAGACTTCAGAGCTGGAATTCTTGATATGATATGCTCTTTGGAGAAAGGCCATGGTGATCAGAAGGCGCACGGCCTGCAGATTGCTAGCCAAAATTGTGATGTTTGATGTCGCTCAAAACTGGCTAGCGCCTACTGTAGGTGCTAGCCGCTGGCTTTTGAAAATAATGTCACGTAGAGACACCATAATGATTGTGGTAGCCATAGACATCCCTGGCCAGGCTTTCGAATTGTGCCGATCTTATATATAGTTAATTACTATAATTCATGAAAATTCTACTCTGTATTAATGTTATGAGTTATGATACTATTGAAGGATACAAGACCCAGTATCGTCAACAGCGTGTCATTCTTCTTTGTTGCCTTCAGGGGGTTGTCGGTCAATGAAGAAGAACCTATGATCCTGGAGCCTGCAAAAAATTAAAGGTGAGTGACTAAACGTGGCTCAATTTTGTCAAGAATTTGCCAGAAACCTCAAGCATGAAACAACTATGAAACATGAAAGTATATTTATTGTCACTTTTCGTGGCAGGCACAGTAACTTGTGCGGTTTTTGAGGTGTGGAAGTGGACTTTTCGTGGCAGGCGCAGGGAATGGTGAGGTTGCGAGTTGTGGTGGAGGTGAATGTCGCCGTGACACTGGGATTGGCGTGTGAGTGGGCGTTGCTTGGCGAAACTGCTTGGCAGGGCTGCTTGATGTGTGTGCTCCGATAAGGCTTGCCACTTGACTTTTGGAGGAAGTCTCGAACGAAATGCTCGTATGGGGACTTTGCCATATATGACTTTTGGAGGAAGTCTCGTACGAGACGCTCATTTTGAAGACTTGACGCATGACTTTTTGGAGCGAGTCTCGTACGAAACGCTCGTTTTGGAGGGTTGACGCGTGAATTTTGGAGGAAGTCTCCTACGAAAACCTTTGCAGACTCGACGTGTGAGTTCTTGAGGTTCTCGTACGAAACGCTAGTTTTGGAGACATGGGGAGGCTTTAGTAGTAGTGTTTTATACGAGGTCCCACAAAGGTGTTCCATAAGAGTGTCCCACAGGAGTGTCCTACAAGAGTGCCCCACAAGAGTGTCCCACAAGAGTGTCCGACAAGAGTGTCCTACAAGAGTGCGCCACAAGAGTGTCCCACAAGAGTGTCCTCCCGCAAAAGTGCCCCACAAGAGTGTCCTACAAGAGTGTCCTACAAGGGTGTCCCACAACAGTCTCCCACAAGGGTGTTCCACAAGAGGTTCCGACACTAGTGTCCCACAAGAGTGTCCCACGATAGTGTTCCAAAAGACTGTTCGACAAGAGTGTCCCGCAAGAGTGTTCCATAAGAGTGTCCGACAAGAGTGTCAAGAGTCTCGTACAAGAGTGTCTCCCAAGAGTGTCCGACAAGAGTGTCCTACAAGAGTGTCCCACAAGAGTGTGCCACGATAGTGTTCCACAAGGGCGTTGGGCAAGAGCTCACTCACTCATCTACTCACTCACCCACTCACTTTTGGTTAGTTAGTGAGTTTGTTTGTTGTTTTGTTGGCTTGGTAGTGGGTTTTCTAGTTGACTCCCACATGCATCTGAGGTAATGGCTTTGAAGGTCTTGGTGATCATGCTTGGCTTAGGCTGGGGCATCTGGGGCATGGAGAGCCCTGCGACCATTTTGTACATTTCTCCAGAAAGCGATCCAGATTTGAACAGCCCTTTGCACTTTCATCTGACATTCCCTTCCCAAATTCTCCACCTTTAATGACTACTCCCCCACCAACTCACCTCCCCCCTACCTGGCATGGAGGAGGAAGTTGTCAAAGAGGAGCTCTTGGAAGACCCTTACATGGTGGATGAAGAACCTGGGGCCACTGCAGAGCAACATGTTCCTGCTAAGGAGGAGGATGTGGTTGTCAAGGACAAACAATGGAGCCAGAGGCTCCACCTCCTCCTGTGACTTTGGGAGTCGACTTGCAACAGCTTATTCGCTTGCCCTAGCAACAATGGCACGCAGAGTTGTGCTTTTTTATTGGCCGCGTTCTTGTCACCGTTTGGGGCGACAGGCATCGTCGTGCCTGACTCTGAGTCAGACCCGTCTGCAGACGGTGATGACACTGATGCAGATCGTGGCGCGCCAAGGGCAGCTGAACGCCACTGGGAGGGAAGTCCTAAACCTCATACATGCCTTGTCGTCCCCATTGGAGTTTATTCTGCACGATGGGGTAGCTTGAGGCCCAACTTTCACGGAGAGCGCGCGCCTGAATGTTTACCACGTTGTTGCGCAAACATTCACCGATTTCCATCAATGTTCTTGCTTCCAATGTCGGTTGCAATACTGGAAAATGGGGCAATGTTCAAACTGCATGGCGCCCAACAAGCCCAAGCCCCACAAGGGGTGCGGGATTCCAACAGGTGCAGGGCACCTGAAGTGGCACTACCTGGACAAATGGGGTGAATATATCAACATGCCCGCGCATGGAAAGGGCCATGCAATAAAGAATCCAAAAAAGGGCAATCATGGCATCTCATCTCGTCCAGCAGGCCCGCAAAAAAAGCGGGAACCTTTGGAAAAAGGCCGAGCGCGAGAAGAAGAAAAGGAAAGAGAGGCTGCATGGACGTCCAAATTGCAGCGAGAAACAAAGAAGCAGAAAAGGCAGAGGAGCAGGAATTCGTCCTCCAACAGAAGAAACGGCCGAAGCTCTTCAGTGTCCCAATAATGCCTGAAGAAGTTGAAGAAGAACTCAGGAAGTACAGCCGCTTCAGAGAAGGCCCGTCTTTGGAGACGTGGTCCAAGCTGCGGAAGCAGCGCCCGCATTGCCCCCCGCCACTCCACTTCCCCCTCCCCCCACCAAGAGTGTTGGACAAGAGTGTCCCGCAAGAGTGTTCCATAAGAGTGTCCGACAAGAGTGCCCTACAAGAATGCCCCACAAAAGAGTGTCCCACAAGAGTGTCCGTCCGACAAGAGTGTCCCACAAGAGTGTCCAAAAGGGTGTGCCACAAGAGTCTCCTACAAGAGTATCTCACAAGAGTGTCCGACAAGAGTGTTCCGCAAGAGTGCCCCACTGAATTTTCGGACAAGAGTGTCCCACAAGTGCCCCGCAAGAGTGTCCCGCAAGAGTGTCCCACAAGAGTGCCCTACCAGAGTGCCCCACAAAATTTTCGGACAAGAGTGTCCTACAAGTGGCCCACAAGAGTGTTTGACCAGAGTGTCCGTCCTACAAGATGTACAAGAGTGTCGCACAAGAGTGTCCCATAAGAGTGTCCTACAAGAGTGTTTCGCAAGAGTGTCCTACAAGAGTGTTCCACAAGGGTGTCCCACAAGAGTGCCCCACAAGTGACATAAAAGAGTGTGCCACGAGTATCCTACAAGAGTGTACCACAAGAGTGTCTCCTACAAGAGTGTCAAAAATTGTTTGGGTGTTTTTTTGCGAGTACGTGTTTGCATTCGGGTTCGTGGGTTCCATGTTGTTTGATCAACATGCTTCTGAGCATTTGGGGATGATCTCGGTCTTGATTCAAAGTGCCTTCGGATCTAGCAACTCTGGCTCAGAGTTGTAGCTAGATGTAGCCACTAATTAGTGGTTCCAATAAGTCAAAGCAAACACAAAAAACACAACGCACTGTTTCCGCTGAATCCTTTCCGTTTGATCTCGTTTCATCAGTCCCTCTGCTCAAATGCTGGAACTTGGAACAAAACTCCGTTTTGCAGAGCCTCCATCCCGACATACAGACATTGGGGTGATTGAAAAGAGGTCGAGTCAATACAAACATATCTGACATACATACATCGAGTGTTTGTGATATAAATATTAAAGTTCTGGATTTGTCCCTTTCAGTTCCCGGAATTGCAGTTCATTTCATCCACATTTCCCAGCCACGTTGTTTGGAAAACAACTCCACCAAAGCAGTCGCTCCCCCAGCGCAAAAACCTCAAAACCTGAAAGTCAGCATCGCATCCGAGGCTCTGGAAGTCAACTCTCTTCTACGTCAACGGCCTCGAGTCCAATCTCGACCATTTCCAGTGGTCGCCTGGAGACGGTTAGAGACGGACAAACCTCTACACAACACCCTCCCAAGAGGGCCTGGCAGGAGATACACCAGGACCTTCCAAACCCGGTGTTATTTTTGGACACCCCTTAACTTAAGCTCTAAGACTCTAAGAGGTAGGAGTCACATCTTGGGGTGATTTGGTGGGGCTGGCCATGCAGTGAGTTCGATGTGGCAGGAGCTCCCCTTTTCATCCTCGATTTCGGAGGGGTCCGAGGGTCATTGTGGGAAGATCGAGGTATGACTGGACCCTCTAAACCCAACCCCAAACACCTAAAAACCTGGAGCCCTTCTCTCAGGTTGTAGACACCCGATTGCGGAGGGTCAGGCCGGGTCGTTGTTCCGAACTTCTTAGGCACGAGCTGCAGGCACAAGTTCTAGCGTGGATTCGTATTCGTGAAAGGGTGACACACACACGACGTTCTTCAGTGGTGCCGTTTGGACGTCTTCATTCAAAATGTCCGTTTCCTTCACAGGCGAACAAGAGACTGGACAAGATGGTCCTGGTTTTCAATGGGAAATAGATCCAGCTTTGCTGGTTTCGTGTGCCCCACTGGCGTTCGACATGCCCCGGCAAAAGCCTCTCAATCTCGGGCCATCTCCCAACCTCCGCAGTGGGCGGTGGAGATCAGCATGTTTCAGCGTTTCTGTTTGGCAAAATGGGTGAACTTCTAGATGTTTTCTTCGTTTTGCGGGACCCCCACGGAGATCTCCGGGCTTTGGCCCGAATTTGATGCTGCGATTCTTCGAGTCAACGGTCCCGATCATACAAGGGACGAGATGGAACTCCATGCAGGGTTGAATATGGGGGTTCCGCAGGGGGCCAGGGCCATGTCTTTATTTGTTTCCAAGATGGTTGAAAGGCGTTGCAAGGGATTGAGGGCGGGCGCTTCAGAGAGATCGAATATGGTCATTGTTTGAGTATACAATTCAAAGGTTGGTCAGCTCAGTCTGTCATTTATGTGGAGTGGTGGGAAGCTGGACTTCAGGAAAAAGCTACGGAACAACTGCCATGAGACAAAATCACATCATTCGACTTTCTATTGAATGATGATGAATGATGTTTCCCTACGCATCCAAGTACCTCCTCAAAAGGTACTTGGACCCTCCAAACCCACCTCAAACACCTTCTCGGAGGGTACGATTGGATCCTCAGAGTTTGTAGAGAAGATAATCAGAGGGGCTTGCAAAAATGACTCTCACTTTTTTTT